CACCACCTCCACCACCACCTCCTCCACCACCACCACCTCCACCACCTCCTCCCCCTCCACCACCACCTCCTGGAGTTCCACCTCCAGCCCCTCCACCACCCCCTCCACCTGAAGTTTGCGAGTACAACGGAGACTACTACGAAGTTGGGGCGAGCATCACCAGAACTGACGGCGTGGTCTGTACCTGTGAGAAGTTCAACGATGCTGAACCAGCTATGACATGCCCACGTAAATCAATGTTTATATATGATCGCTTTGCTTTGAGAAGTGATAGAATTCAAAGTAGTGAAAGTTGATGAGTCTTGGTCGGGTAATTTTGTCTTCATCATTTCATGCCGCTGTGAGCATAGCATCACCCACTTTCCAATGCTAATGCTAACGCCACGAGATGTACACAACATGTACAAGTTTGCCTACACCATGCACTCATCATCCTTCTGAATACAGAATACAGAATGCTACAGTCCATTCTATGCGGTATGTAGATCATAGACACAGATGTGAACAATGAAGCAAACCATCATGAACCGTAAAGCTAAGCATGACACAAGTTATTATGTTACCTAAGTTTTTATAACTACATATCGTTGAAATGCTACGTTAAGTGTGATTTTAGATTTGTTGCACACTGGTGCAATTAGATTGATTTCAGAATTGTACTTGTTTTCATAATTACAGTCAAAGTTTATTATTCCAATGACAGATTGTAAATGAGCGTGCCATTCAACCTCCAGGATGCAATATGCTTTGGTGCAATACCTTACCTTACCTTACCTAGTCCCATCCTCATGTCTGAGGGTCGGGGACTATGGTGGCATCCAGTATCAGCCTCCTCCACTCTCTCCTGTCTCTGGCCCTGTGAGAGTACTCAGCCAGTGGCATGCCCATCCAGTCACGGACATCGTCGCCCCACCTCCGGCGTGGTCTTCCACGGCTCCTCCTTCCGTTGATCACCCCTTGCAGTATGTGGGTGGTGATGTTCTCTGCTCGTGTGGCATGCCCAAAGTACTGGAGTTTCCGCCTCTTTATGGTGTTTAAAAGTGTTCTTTCCACTCCCAGCTGTTCTAACACAGAGTCATTTGTGCGGTGGTCCGTCCAGCTGATGCGCAATAAACAATGTGAAATTTGACACCCATACTATACTATATTTCATGTAGCACCTCCACCTCCGGTAGCGCCACCACCTCCACCTCCCGGCTGCGTGTACATGGACCAAACCTACGCTCCGGGAACAGTCATCATAGAGGCGGGCTGCAAGACGGACGGGCTGCTCTGCGACGATTACGGGCAGATCTTTGTTCTGGATAGCTTTGGATACGGATGTAAGTTTGTTAGATCATGATACCTCTGTTAATACAGGCTGTGGACAAAAGTAGATATAACATTTTGACATTTTAAATGTGTAAACGTAGACAAAACCTTGGCAACATCTTATGTGCACATTTATACGTGTTATCTAGGAATGTACATGTCTTTATACTTCATTAGAAATGAAGAGAAAAAGTGTAAACCAACAGACATCTGTGTTTTTGCCACGTGCAAGAATTACCATGTTGCCTTTTATCAAGTGATGTACTGTCCTTGGTCTGTGTGTGTGTTTGTGTGTCTGGTTGTGTGTGTGTGTGTCTGTGTGTGTGTGTAGGTGTGTGTGTATGAGTGTGTGTGTGTGTGTGTGTGTGTGTTTCTGCGATCATTCTGGATCCCAGAACGTACACAATGTTATTATTAGTTGTTGTTGCTATGGTTCACACACTATGACTTCCAATGATGACCAGGTTGCGAATACCGTGGAGAGTGCTACGAAAGAGGGCAGACCATGGTCCGAGATGACGGGGTGATGTGCCGCTGCGAGGGAAGCGCTGACGTGGCTCCTGCACCTATGATCTGCGACGGTAAGAACCACCAATTCGCAAGGGATTTTTTTTAACGGTGTCGCTCAATGCAAGGCCATTTGGCCACTTCTAGGCATAGAGCTAGAGGTATAGAACTGTAACAGCAACTCTTCTCCCTGGGTCAGAAACATCATGATTGAGACCAGCCCAATTTCTCACAAGTAGTGAGGACTAACTGACCCAATGGGATAATCTTGAATAGCAACATTATTTACATGTTTAAAGTTAAAACTTTTGATCCAACACAAAAAAATTCCCTCACCTAGAGCTTTCGACCAGTCACTCTGGTCTTCCTCAGTAGACTGACCCAGTGGGGCTTGTTACGTGGGTTCTTTGAAGTGTGATGTCAACACTGGGCGAAAGGTATCTGGTAGACGATGTCGGCCCCCGTCGCAGATCAGTCTACTGAGAAAGACCAGAGTGACAAACTCTCCTGGCATAATAGATATGTCTCTTTGTACAATATTCAATGTCCTTGGTCAATTTCTACTCTTTCAAGCCGCTTCCCGAGGCCTGGCGGAGGCTAATATATTATATGTTCTTGTAGTGACGACCCCTGCGCCGACCTACCCCCGCCCCCGCCAGCGCCCCAGCCTCCTGACTGTGAGTACATGGGAGAGTACTACCCGCCCGATACGGTCATCCAGGAGCCAGGCTGTATGAGGCCAATGGTCGGGTGCGACCCGTGGGGAGTTCTCTACAGCTACGACAGTTTTGGACAAGGATGTAAGTCTGTTTGATTATGTTTACCTTAGCAGAAGGAAAACACATTGTTCTTGCTCTGTTTCTTTTTCCTCTTCTTCATCTACTTCTTTTTCTCAAATAATGTCAATGACCTGTCAATGATCTGAACCAGACGTCTCTCACCATAACTAGTCTTGGGTTCCATCGTGTTGCAATTTTATAGCAGGAGGTATTTAGACTCTTGACTGACCATGTGTGTGTGTGTGTGTGTGTGTGTGTGTGTGTGTGTGTGTGTGTGCGCGCGCGCGTGTGTGTGTGTTTGAGTAAGAATTAACAGAGCAGACCATATGCGAAGGTGAACATTCTGCATTTGCCTTGCAAATGTTACCTTTCTAGTTTACATACTTAGATGTCTAATGTTGTATAGGTTGCCAGTATAACGGACAATACTACGAAGACGGAGACACCTTCACCAGAGAGGACGGTGTGGTCTGCCACTGTGTGGGGAGCGAAACTGGGTACCCAGCCCCGATGATCTGCCCAGGTAAAATACACTTTATCACTTTTGGGGGCGTGAAAGAAGGTAGGCAATGTTGGCTTACGTAATCTCCAAACAGATCGTTTGATGGCTGAAAAGACAGAATCAAATTGGCCAGACAGTAACCATTTCGTCTTCGGTGGCGAAGTGGTAACTGTCTGGCCAATGGGATACTGCCTGGCCAATTTGATTCTTTGCAGCCACCAAAACTCGGATCTGCTTGGAAATTAGGATTGCAGCTTTGTTTCCATGATTTCATGCTCGTCGGTGGGCATTGCATCATCTACTTTGCCGGATGCGGATGTCATAAACGAATCCGTAAACAAGTTGGGGACACTCTGCTATCAATGATTGTCGACACTACAACGTACCACTGAGTTACACGAACTCATACCTCCGCAATGTCAACATCTTTGACTATTATAGGATTCATAATACAGACTATTGTGATTCCTATTGTTAATAATGTCCATCATACTCTAAAATTGTAGTAAAAGAGGCAAACAACCATTATAGACTGAAAAGCTATACAGAACTTTATTGACACAACAAAAGTACAGCGACTTTCGTAAGATCTTAAACTACATGAAAACATACAGATACATGTACGTGCGTGCAAGACTGTGAGTGAATCAACTACTTGTTCTAGGACCTAAACAGTCCTTGATATATTAACCTATTAGTATATTTCTTGTAGAACCGACGGACCCACCCCCTCCCCCTCTCCCACCGTACGGCTGTATGTATGGAGAACAGGTGTTCCTTCCTGGAGAAACCATCTACGAGAAACCGGGCTGTATGGGGGGCCGCGCGCTGTGTAGCGAGAACAGTCAAATCATCTACGAAGACTACTTTGGATACGGATGTAAGTAGTTACGTCGATGAAGGTTAGACATCCAGGTAATACGATACGCCAAAAAGCAGTTACTCAAGTAACTGGATATGATTTTGAAAACGTCAGACGTAAGTAGTTAGTCTTTCCAGACTACCTGTCGGTTGCTAAAAATAGTAGATATTAGCCAGAAAAGTTGGCGGCCGATTTGGAACCAACTTCTTTGGACATACCTGAAATCACGAGTCGGTCAAGCCCTCAGATAAGATATGTGCCGAATGTGTGCTTTTTTACCATGTTATTTGTTGTTACGTGTTTTTGTATGAACCCTGGAAGATTAGCCTTTTGAGCTTAAAGGGCATCGAAGTACAGACAAAGGCAGAATATACCTCTTCATGCTGCAATGTGTTATAATTAGTGTACTTAGTATTCAACATCCCAAAAAATTTGCTTTATTCAGGAAAGCCTTTTATAGGAGATTATAGGAGAGTTTTGTAGGAGATTGTTGTCAGCTTTGTCTCAGATTGTACATTATGATAGAAAATTTCACTTTTCAACACCAAAGGCCTAGTTTACATGTCTACATGTTGAACTTGTAGGCTGTCTACACAATGATGTGTACTACGAGAACGGAGCAACCTTTACTGAAGACGGTTTGCTCTGCCGCTGTGAGGGCAGCCAGACTGCAAAACCCGCGCCTGTCATCTGCGAAGAACAAGGTAAAAACTATCATGAAAGTTCATCTGTGTTGTCAGTTTAAAGTTAAAACTTTTGTCTCAAATTAATATGTCTCCATTTTAATGTAATATGTCTCCATTTTAATGTAATATGTCTCCATTTTAATGTAATATGTCTCCATTTTAATGTAATATGTCTCCATTTTAATGTAATATGTCTCCATTTTAATGTAATGTCCTGACGCAATTTAGCCGTTTTGTATCTGACAATGTTACGTACCTTTCGAAATAAACTATTCATGCATCATTGACTGCTACAGAATACAGAATGCCTCTCTATCATTTCTTAGATTTGGCGGCCGGGGGAAAGTAGTACGAAGACGTCGTGACCGAGGATCTGGGAAATGAGGAAGAGGAAGGGTGATGAGCTGGTACATGCCTTCATCACTCCCGCACTCATCACTACACCCCCACAACGTAAACTCAAATCTCCCGGCAACTTTACTTTCATAGTCTTCGTAGTAACTGACTGAAAGAAACGTCGAATGCATTCATGTATTGGATCTCTACATTATTTGGTCTTTGCTGTCCACAACTTTTTCCTGCGTTGCAGGTCACGACCTGAAATTCTTAGGATTTCCAACTTTTACTAATTGGTACACATTAGATCTTTCCTAAGATCTTGATGACACTTTGTGCATCTATTTACTTTTTAGTATAAGGGATAATAGCGATTATAAGATCATAAGCAGAGATTTCTTTAGATCGCGTGTGCAATTAGTTACCCAAGTATGAGGTAGACGAATATTATTCTAATCTTCCTATACAAGAATGACTAACGTAGAACTTCACACACGTGTGTAAAATTGGTTGCAGAGGATTTGGTGAGGTTAGTATGTCTAGTACTATGTGCGATCAATGGAAAATTATTCTTTAAGTTATCAGTTGGAAATTCAGAAGTTACGTTGACGTACATTGGATTTATTTCTTAGCCAGTAGAATGAACCCCGGAAGATTAGCCTTTTGGCTGAAGGGTATCGGAATAAAGAGCTTTCGGAATTATGAGAATTTCTTAGTCAGAATGTCACTAAAAGTTGATGTCATATGTCTAGCAATAGAATAAATACAGGGAGAGAGGTCACAGCAGTGTATTATAGAGGAAATCGTTATCGTTTTCAGAAACTCATTATACGTAGATATAAGTTAAAAGTGCAATATAATCAAGAAGTGATGGAAATGATGGTACGTAAAAGTGGTACCAGTATTGTTCCTTGTGGAACACTTTGCGAGAAATTAAAAGACGGGCTGTGATCTACACGAATTGTCTGCTATATCTTTATCAAGACTGCATTTATCCAGTTTCCAATGTACTATATTATAATTAATCTCCAAGCAGATCCTAGGGTCTCAAAAATAGAGTACCAAACTGGCCAGGCAGTATCCAAGCGACCCAAGGTGAAGGTAGAGGCAAAAAAAACGGGCCATATATAAAAAGCTAACGATCATTCCCCCACAACCTCTGCTTGGAGAGTACGTATTACTTACTTCTAGCGAGCTCTTTTACTGGGTTTGAAACTGATGGACTCTTCCACCAGAGGGTCTGAAAATGGACTCATCCATCATGAAGACCCGAGCCGTTTTACTCAAGGGGAAATAATCCATCATTCCCCCTTTTTGGTGACGTTCGGGAGTGTAAAAAAGCCCCGTAGGTATTTACCGCGTTTTTCTAACCTACAAACGACCGGAAATGACGCAAGCCTGTCCGATATTATTCGCTCCTATGTGGGGGCCCGCAAGCCCTTTTCCGTAGAGCGTAATCGGCCGTTTTAATTCTGCGTAGAGCGTAGGCGGATCGACCGCTCTAATTCCACGTAGAGTGTAATTGACGCATTTAGCGTAACACGTAGCCGGCTCTCAAAATTTAGCGTAGAGCGTTGTCGGGACCCCCACATGCAGGCCCTCCTATGTCACTACGAGTGGTGCGGAGTGCGTTTGGCACTCCGTAAAGATGACGATGATAGAACTGACACGGTGACAGTCTGCTCTACTGATATCTTCTGCATCAGAAGCCGATGCAAACAGACAGCTAGAACGAAGGTACGTACTAAAGCTTGTTAATTCCTGATAGGCAGAGTACTATGGCAGAAAGCGTAACTGTATCTAAATCTTGAACGGGTGGCAGTCTACATGTATGTGTTGAATGTTTTGACAAGACGAATGACAATACACTTAGCCAGTCAGTATTTCCAGCTTAAGTTGGCGCTAGGTATATACAGTGTTGATATATACGCAACGTTTAGGTGATGAAGAGCCTTGTTTGTGTTTTAGTGCCGCTTTCAGTACGAGCAGTTCGTCCTTGATAACTGATTTCCCCGAAACTGTTCGATCTTTTCGTTCAAGGACTGAACAAACACGTGAAGTACAGGTTCCATCGCTTTCCACATCGATCGCTGTTATAACTACAAAAGGTAAAACAATCATCTCCAGGCTAAGGAGTAGAAAACACAGGGCGTTATACCTACGACAAGATGGTAGTTGTCGTTGATTTGCCTACCAATACTTTGCATATGTCTTGAAATTATTTGCATGTATATATATTTTGTAAACAAAAACAGCGATCCCTCGTATAGGGTGGGGTCAAAATGTAACAGGAATGCAAGACAAGCCTGACGTACAAATCGGGCATACCAGTGATCCTAAGCCTTGATGCAATTGCAAAAACCAATTAACCAACCAACCAACCAACCAACCAACCAACCAACCAACCAACCAACCAAAGCAACCAAAAACAACCAACCAACTAACCAACCAACCAACCAACCAACCAACCGACCAACCAACCAAAGCAACCAAAAACAACCAACCAACCAACCAACCAACCAACCAACCAACCAACCAACCAAAAGCAACCACAAACAAACGAACAAACAAACAAACAAACAAACAAACAAACAATTTTTCTCTAAAAGATGGACTAATTCATATCACCATCGGGGCTGGAATCGTAGAAAATCGGCTCACTTTGTCATCGAATAAAAAGTTACGTCTGATATTTCCTTTGAAACTATCTCAAAAACGCAGGAGATGCCATTTCAGAAGGTTCAATTTTCAAAATTTTCCGGACCCCCACTAGGAACCTCAAGCCTACGGCGCTCGATGGTCCCTTTAGACAGTGGCAAGAACCCCCATTCCAAATCCTTGCTACGGGCATGGAATTCATGATACTTAGTACAAAACGCCTTGGGCTTTGTTTGCACCTGATCAATGATGGCATTCCGGTCAGGTATTTCCCCTGCCTCCCCAGATGACTCTTGAAACCGTTCTGTCGATAGTTGGGTGTGAAACAATTTCAGGCCAGTAACGAGGTGTCAGCTACAGAACCGGTATCTGACATTGACTGATGGGGATATTATAGATCGTAGGCTTATTCGTCCATCGACGCTTTTGTGCATTCGCATATGCGCAGTTTTGGAATGGCTTAAGTTGGATCTATCAATGATGATGTCTATCTATAGCTAGGCTTATAAGCCTAGCTATATTACGTTGGATCAATGGTTGTGATGGGATCCAATCGTTTGTACCAGTTTGGCCCAAGAATGTGAAGGCGAGGTCAGTCTAGAGTGGAGACCTAGAGAGGGAGGTCCTGGTGGTATCTGTCGTAGGATAGGAAGTTGATTAAACAGTTCAAGTTCGGACTCTGTGACTCGGCTCATCATCTGACAATGGTATAGAATAGAATAGAATGGTTTATTTCAAATTGAAAACTGCAGACATACACACTTTCAATTACCATCACATTGACAACAGACTCGCAGGTAGCCATACTGGCCGCCTGAATTGCTCCGAGGTCACAAATGTCATTAAAATATGGGTATTATTGTTAAAAAATTATTACATATTATTAAATATTGTTAAAATTTATGAATCGTAAAATATTCCTCTGCTTTAGAAAATGGATTTATAGTCAATATACATGTTAAACGTTACGCAGTAAAAAAGGCTGTTGTACAACATTAGCAACAGATTACTCTTACATTGCCGTTTCAGAGTTATTCAGTAACTTAACCATGTATGGTAGTGCGCTGTTTCTAAAGCGTTCGGTTCTTGTTCTAAAACAAGATGGTGATGACTATCTATAGCTAGCCTGTGTTACACAATCTATATATCCCTGTCAGGGGCCGATTGGGCCTCCTCCTTCCCAATTCATCTCACTTCAATAGAGATGTTGGCCATCAAGTGGTACCAGTATTGTTCCTTGAGGAACAGCGAGAAATTAAAAGACGGGCTGTGATCTACACGCATTGTCTGCTATATGTTTGTCAAGACTGCATTTAACCTGTGTTACACAATCTTTCCCTGTCGGGGGCCGATTGGGCCTCCTCCTTCCCAATGCATCTCACTTCAATAAAGATGTATCAGGTTGGCCATCAAGCTTCTAGGGGCCTAACAAGTGGAAGGCACAGAGCTAGAAGCTATAGCTACATGGAAACTCACTACCTGAAACCGAATATTATAATAATATTCGGTTTACCCGTCTCTACCACACTAACTACGCTGGTTATATATAGGAGAATATTTGCCAGGGGAGTTTGGCCGCCTTGTGGTTTGACTGGCTAGCCTGGGTACCATCCTGGTTAGTTTACGTCCGCTGTAGGAGCGGACGTAAACTAACCAGGATGGTACCCAGGCTATTGACTGGCCGCTTCGGAGGGAAAGAAACTACCTCCCCGCGGCAGGACTCCCTTGGCCAATTGTAGTCTCTTTTTTGCCAAATTCTACGATCCGTATTCCCGTAGAAAGGTCTGGTGGAGGCTAGGTTTACCGGGTGTAATACGATTAGACGGAAGGACGGTTTTCGTTTCAACTTAATGCACTCACATCTAATGGTTTACTTTGATGGTGTATCCACTTGCTGATTTTGAACAACTCGCCATGAGAGTCTGAGTAGCTTGCCGATTGATTTGAAAGAAGGCCACATCCCAAAGCAATAGTATATGCGCATGCATCATACATATCTATATATAAGATCCAATGTAACGAAATTGCCTTTACCACAACGCAACCCTCTCCTAGATCTCTAGCTCATATTATACAATGCTCACATTATACAATGTCTGGCTCATACGCACGAGTAATGCTGATATTCAGCCAGTGTTAACATTGGAAATCTAACGTTATGTATTTTTCTTGTCAGTGTAGGGCACTTTTATGCGTATGAGTGATTATGAACTCATCAGATGTTGCAGTTCTACGCACTGATATTCAGCCAGTGATAACATAATTGTAAATCTATGTATTTTTCTTGTCAGCGCCAGGACACATCTGTGCGTATGATTGATGATGAAGGCCTACAGAGTGCGTAAAAGAAGTCATCAGATGTTTCAGTTCTACGCACTGATCTTCAGCTAGCCAGTGATAATTTTGTAAATCTATGTATTTGTCTTGTCAGCGACAGAGGACATTTGTGCGTATGAGTGATGATGAAGACCTACAGAGTGCGTAAGGGAAGCCATCAGATGATTCAGTTCTACGCAATGATATTCAGCTAGCCAGTTATAATTTTGTAAATCTATGTATTTTTCTTGTCAGCGCCAGGGCACGTTTGAGCGTATGAGTGATGATGAAGACCTACAGAGTGCGTAAAGGAAACCATCAGATGCTGCAGATGTTGCTGTTCTGTTGGCTGGGACTTTTGCCAGGATGTTTAACGTTGGCAGCTGCTGACGGTGCGGATCATACTAACGTTCCATCTCTTTGCCCTTCGTCTCAACTGCCAGAGGACAAACGTATAGCTGCCAAAAACGGTACCAAAAATTCTGCAAACGACCACGGCAATATTTCAGGCTGTTTGAGACTTTCAGCGAAGACCAATGAAACTACTATTTCAGACGTCACAAGCCTTGAAGAAGAGAGTGAACTTGAAAGAAACAACTTTCACCAGGTTAAAGCACTCATAATGTCATCTTCAAACTTGGACCAATCTGTTGTTCCTCCTCCGTACGGTTTTGGGACGGCCAACTTTCTATTAGCTACAGCTGCTATCGTCCCAATATTGGGACTTCTTTTCATTCTATATCCTTGTATAAGAAGTGTTCTTATGGACACTCCTTTCTGTAAGAAGCGGTTGATGAATAAAAGATTAAGAAGCTCTCGACTGACCCTCGCTAGTGATGCGAATGACAGCAGTGATGATGAGATATTCGGACTGTCTGACGGAGAAAAGAACACAAGAGGTGCACAAGAAGTGATGACGGTGTCGTGCATGACCACAAAGAACGGTGACGTAGAGGAACAGGTGGTTTTGGAGGATGATGAGCAACTTCAAGAAAAGAATGTTGCGATGTTGTCCAACGAGGGACACACGGAAAATTCGGACGGGCAAGAAACTAATGAAATCACAGAGAAAAACAAAATGACGACTCTCTCTCTTGTCAAGACTTCACCTTCGAAATCTAACCATTGCCAAGGTCACAACAACACATTCATATAACGTTATGTGGTGACAGATGTCTAAATCCCTCCTGCTCATAAAATTACAACATGATGTAACCCAACACTAGTTACCATGGTGACAGACGGTCTGACTGTGACCTTTTGTGTTTGGAGAAGAGGAAACTGAGCAAAAACAAGGTATATTTTCCTTCGGTAAACATAGCTCTATGTTAAATCCTACTACCAATGTTGCCACCAGGACTGGGATATTTTTTTCCTGTATATACATGTACTGTGTTTTATTGTGCACGTATTGTTAGCGTCAAAATTGCTGCATAATGTAAATGTCTTTGTCCTAAAATGTCGACCAAATAGTCGTTGAACATTTACGTCGTTGTCGATGCTCTGTACATGTATGTAATGTTATATGACTTGTGTACTAGGGTGTAGTAATCAGTTACGTAATATTAATTATATGGTACATGTATCGTGATGTACAATGTATGAATTAAATGCATTCACGAAAGTACCGAAATTGTTGGCTTGTTATTAAGTAACTCCAGTACGTGTTACTTATTTCACAGCTCCCTGTACATGCACAGCTTTCCTGTTGCTTTATGCATTGAAATTTATTCTACTGGTTTCTTTGAAGCTTCCCTCACCGTGGCTTAATTTACACAACGTCATTTTGTAGCTGGTTTTACGCCTTTGGAGCTTTTACCAAGTCTTCATGCATTGAAATGTATGCCGACAGTTACTTTGTACTTTCTTTCACGGCGGTTTGAAAATGATAATCTATTCCGTCGGTTTCTTTCTGTATGTTCTTTTACAGCGACTTCAGGCATGTAGATTTATTCCGTCAGTTCTTTTATATCCGTAGCTCACAGACAGTGAAAATCAAGATTAGAGACTAAGTGTAAACTCTGTATAGGATCCGTGCCTGGGATACATTAGCCTCCATAAAATGCCAAAAAACTGGGGGTTTGGGGGGTCTTCAGGGTCTTGGTGAGCTTTTATGCGCTATTTTCTGATTGTATATAGACAACATAGCCGGCCTGGTTGAATTACCCGTTTTTAGAACTGGGCTGATCAGAAAACAGCCGAAGACAACCAAACCCCCAGTTCTAAGTGCTGCGGAGGCTAGGGATACATACAATCTATTGCATGCAGAGCCATCAAAGCAAAGTGTGTGTTCCATACGTTATTTGTAAGTAAAGCTTCAGGGCTTGGTGGAATGTACGAGCCGTGTGGCTCAGTATTGCTTTTAAAGCTCTGATGAACATTTAAGGACTCGGTGATGACTACGGATTTCCTGTCAGGTAGCATTAGTAAGCACTGTACTGTCTGTACACCAACCAAGCTAAGGGAAAAGTGTTGACTGATTTGGCTACAAAGCGGACAAAGTGAGAACTACGTTCACGACTCGTTCTCCTAACTAGAAACTGGAGGGTATTACTGGGAAAAATGACACATAGAATGGGGCATTTTTATGGAGTAAGCTGTGCAGTGGCGCCGTTTTATGCTCTTTTCTACTGTGGCGTCGTGTGTGGAGGTTCATTTGGCTGTTTTACTTGTCATGTGTACTAGTATAATGTACTTTACCATTGTTTTATGTTTTCTTGCTTTGAAAAAAAAAGATAAGTTTCAAGATTACACTGCACTCTAAAACTATCCCAGAGTGGAACTAAGTAAGGAACTGCCACTAAGTACAGAAGGGGCACTATCATCAGATGGCTTTAAACAGTGTTTAGAGCTCGTTCGGTGTAATGTAGCCAGCTGCCGCCGTGCCGCGTGCCTGCGAAGCTGGTTTGTTACGCCGAAGGCCGGCTATACAGATAGATACTCTAAATTTGGGGAATAATGACACCATGTACAGTGTATCAATTCTAATAAAATCTAATGACACCATGTACAGTGTATCAATTCTATCAAATCTAATTTCAAGATTAAAAAAAAAAACTTGCTTGTACACTTCCTTTCTTGTTGTGCTTTCCAGAGCCTCTCCTCTCTCTCTCTCTCTGTATAAATGTATGTGTATGTGTGCATGTGTGCGTGCGTGTGTGTGTGTGTGTGTGTGTGTGTGTGTGTGTGTGTGCGTCTGTCTCTCTGTCAGTGTAAACAAGATAACTCAAGAAGGCTTGAATGGATTGTCTTGACGAGACCTACCCAATAGTTAAGTTAATTTCAGGATTGAATTTTACCACCACACACTCGCCTACAGACTCCACCTACTCGTGACGCCCCCATAGAGCCCCCAAAACGACTAGATGAAATATAAAGTAAACGATGTTAAGTAGTACTAGTAGCATGTTCGTTACCCTGCAGTACCGATCAAATGTAACAGGTGTCGCTTACAACTTGGAAATTCGTACTCTGACAAAGAGTTAGACTATTGAAACCTTCTCTGGCTATTATACTGTCTTGCCACCGAAAGGGATCGGCTTGGAGAGTTAATTGAAATTTTAATATTGGATAAATACTGAGATTACTTCCGGACGTTTTAGCACTTTTCTCCCCTGTGACCTACATGCCCGTAGCCAGGATTTTGAATGGGGGGGGGGGTTCTTCCCACTGCTTGAGGGACCTAGAGCGCCGAAGGCGCGAGGTTCCTAGGGGGGGGTCGGGGGCATGCTCCCCCGGAAAATTGTGAAAAATGAACCTTCTAAAATGGGATTTCGTGCATTTTTGAGAGGATTTCCAAGAAAAAATCTGTATTCAAAATATTCAAGATAAATTTGTATTCAATGACAAAGGGAGCAGTTTTTCTACGATTCCAGTCCATCTTTTCAATAAAAACCTTGGACCATTACATAAAATGTGGACCAAAAAGTGGACCTTTACATAAAATGTGGACCAAAAAGTGGACCTTTGAGCCCCGAACCCCCCCCCCCCGGCTACGGGCATGACCGTTTTATCGTAACAAAAACCACCAAACATCAACAAAAGTCTACAGAAATCCCTGACCACTCCATCCCTCAAAGTATCGAGTGAATTGTCCCCTCCAGAACAGCGATGTCCACCCGCGCACCTGCTGTCTAGACTAGTAATGGAACGTCCCTGACCTGTCTGTGGCGGGAGACGAACCACTACATTTTAGGAGGTAAGGGTGCATCTGCGTTTTTATCTCGATATAAAATCAACTCCAGCGTGGTCTTTAGTGCTAATTTTACAAACAAACAAAAACCACCGGTATTAGTACCATTGTATCTGTAAATCGTAAATAAAAAGTTTGGTTTACTAATATAAAAATATCACTCTCTTACTGCCCCCCCTACCAATAAAGTGCAGTAACCCCAAGTTTTGGTCAACCAAAAATACAAATTAAGTTTCAACAAGATGTTTTTGTTTAGATTATTTGCTGTGATAAGAATTTTTATGCTGAAATATTTCTTTTCAACATGATGGGATAAGTTTATATTTTCATATTCTTAATAAATATTTCTATGAATCCTGCCTGAACCATTCGTTAGGGAGGTATCTTCCAATTTATTTATTTTCTTTTTGGATAGAAAAAAAAAACGAAGAGTATTTGTCCAGAAATAAACATTCTTAGATAGATTGTATGAATATCTTTCGTTATATTTTTCAACAATGACTCCATTAAATTAGACAATAGAAATATTTCATTGTTGTATTCCACCCATATTACAAAATGGTCTGCTTCATCCCTGTAAGGACCAATCACCAGCCGAGTTCTGATTCAAATCGCGCCATTAGACTTGGAGACAAGACCGCTTGTTGGCTTTTCAGAATCGTCTGAATTAAGGTGAGAATTTTTCCCTTTTTTACGGCGAAATCCCAAATTTTTTCCATGTATTATCTCGTATAGTATCTGTAGAGCAAGTTTAGCGAATTTCCTGGTTTGTTTTGATGATTTTTAATCAATTTTGACCGAAATTTTGATGACGTAGATGGACGGTAGGTTTAGCCCGAAATTTCGCTATGTTGTTAAAATGCCCAACATTTTTCGGTCAGGAGTTTCGCAAAAGTGTCTCAAGTTCCACAAATTTGGTTCAGAAATTGGTTATCATGACCCAAATCGTGCATTTGCCTCCGTATTTTGAAGTTTTCTTGGTATTTTCTGTAAGAAAAATTCTTGTACACTGGAGTGCAATAAACTTGTATAGGTAGCCTGCATATTTGTGGGCGGGGAAGCTAGTGCGTAGTGGGACGTCCCGTGTATATACCCGTGCTATACCCGGTACTAAGCCTGGGTACTAACTCAAGTTTACAATAATTTACAACAGTGAAATTTGGATTTTTACAATCTTAATAGTTTATTACATCATCTCTCTGTGAAAAAATTCAATATTCGCGGCAGTATTCCTGAATTTTGGTCGTTTTTGTTCATCGTTCGACGGAGATGTCAATCATTAGTGCACGTGGTATATGCAAATGAGCCAGTAATTTCGATGAATTTACGTCAGAATTTGAACACAAAGTGTTTTACCACAAATTTTTACCTCAAAATTGTCGTCAAAAAGAACCCAGGCCTTAGTAGTGTAACGTTTAGCGATGTTTTTCGTAAGATTCTAGTACAAATGTGGTTTACCGAGTTACTATAGTACACAGTCGGCCGGCCAAGTTGAACGTTCCCGACCGGGTTTTTGGCATTGTCCCGTGAACACGGGGCTGGTCAAAACTTGCCCAAGAATCATGTTTCCCCGTAACTTTTCCTCAGAATTTGTAGAAAAGAGATTCCGGCACCTAGTAGTGTAACATTTAACGGTATTTTGCGAACGATTTCGGTGAAAATCTTCACCAACTGCGTTGTCCGCCGGCCAGAGCAAATTGGTTTTTTGATCTTTGCCCGGTGAAGTAGCCGGGTAGTTGTTACGCCAAAACTTGCTCAAAAATCATGTTTTCCACAATGTTTCCTCAGAACTTGCACGAAAAAGGTTCCAGCACATAGTAGTGTAACATTTGGCTGTATTATCCCATGATTTTTTGAAAGATTTCGGTGAAAAGCCTCACAAATTTTGTTGCCCTCCGGCCAGAGCAAATTGGTCCCGTCGGGGTTTTGG